TAGCACACAGATGCCTGGCGGAAAGTAGATGTATAGTAAGAATAACAAATAGCACACAGATGCCTGGCGGAAAGTAGATGTACAGTAAGAATAACAAATAGCACACTGATGCCTGGCGGAAAGTAGATGTACAGTAAGAATAACAAATAGCACACAGGTGCCTGGCGGAAAGTAGATGTACAGTAAGAATAACCAATAGCACACTGATGCCTGGCGGAAAGTAGATGTACAGTAAGAATAACAAATAGCGCACAGATGCCTGGCGGAAAGTAGATGTACAGTAAGAATAACCAATAGCGTACAGGTGCCTGGCGGAAAGTAGATGTACAGTAAGAATAACCAATAGCACACAGATGCCTGGCGGAAAGTAGATGTACAGTAAGAATAACAAATAGCACACAGATGCCTGGCGGAAAGTAGATGTACAGTAAGAATAACCAATAGCACACAGATGCCTGGCGGAAAGTAGATGTATAGTAAGAATAACAAATAGCACACAGATGCCTGGCGGAAAGTAGATGTATAGTAAGAATAACAAATAGCACACAGATGCCTGGCGGAAAGTAGATGTATAGTAAGAATAACAAATAGCACACAGATGCCTGGCGGAAAGTAGATGTACAGTAAGAATAACAAATAGCACACAGATGCCTGGCGGAAAGTAGATGTACAGTAAGAATAACAAATAGCACACAGATGCCTGGCGGAAAGTAGATGTACAGTAAGAATAACAAATAGCACACAGATGCCTGGCGGAAAGTAGATGTACAGTAAGAATAACAAATAGCACACAGATGCCTGGCGGAAAGTAGATGTATAGTAAGAATAACAAATAGCACACAGATGCCTGGCGGAAAGTAGATGTATAGTAAGAATAACAAATAGCACACTGATGCCTGGCGGAAAGTAGATGTACAGTAAGAATAACCAATAGCACACAGATGCCTGGCGGAAAGTAGATGTACAGTAAGAATAACCAATAGCACACAGATGCCTGGCGGAAAGTAGATGTATAGTAAGAATAACCAATAGCACACAGATGCCTGGCGGAAAGTAGATGTATAGTAAGAATAACAAATAGCACACTGATGCCTGGCGGAAAGTAGATGTATAGTAAGAATAACAAATAGCACACTGATGCCTGGCGGAAAGTAGATGTACAGTAAGAATAACAAATAGCACACAGATGCCTGGCGGAAAGTAGATGTACAGTAAGAATAACAAATAGCACACAGATGCCTGGCGGAAAGTAGATGTACAGTAAGAATAACAAATAGCACACAGATGCCTGGCGGAAAGTAGATGTATAGTAAGAATAACAAATAGCACACAGATGCCTGGCGGAAAGTAGATGTATAGTAAGAATAACAAATAGCACACTGATGCCTGGCGGAAAGTAGATGTACAGTAAGAATAACCAATAGCACACAGATGCCTGGCGGAAAGTAGATGTATAGTAAGAATAACCAATAGCACACAGATGCCTGGCGGAAAGTAGATGTATAGTAAGAATAACAAATAGCACACTGATGCCTGGCGGAAAGTAGATGTATAGTAAGAATAACAAATAGCACACTGATGCCTGGCGGAAAGTAGATGTATAGTAAGAATAACAAATAGCACACAGATGCCTGGCGGAAAGTAGATGTATAGTAAGAATAACAAATAGCACACAGGTGCCAGATGGGCAGTAAGGATAAGGACCAAAGGCATTAAAACGCCAGCTTGGCATGAAGTCCTTGTCCTCACTGCACATCTGGCTTAATTACCTAGCTTTGTGCTATTTGTTATTCTTACTGTTATCTCTGCTCCAATCACTGGAAGCATCGTCTCGTCAACGCCCGGCTCATGCTGGCGACCGACAACACGACGGCAGTGTCCTATGTGAACAAACTGGGGGGAACCCACAGTCACTCGCTACTCGATCTCATGTTGGAGTTTTACGCTCTGGTGGACAGTGTCCCGTGCCAGGTGCGTGCCTGTCACATCCCAGGTGTGCGGAACGTACTGGCCGACGCTCTATCGAGGCCTCGGGATCCGAGCCCCACAGAGTGGATGCTCAACCCAGTAGTGTTTCAGTGGCTGTGCGAACATTCGGGTTGTCCGATGGTCGACCTGTTCGCAACACGGTTCACCAATCAACTCCCGTTGTTTGTATCACCAGTCCCGGACCCGAGGGCCATTGATCACGATGCTCTCGCGTTAGACTGAACGGCATGGACGCTTATGCTTACCCACCGACGGCGTTGATACCACTCATTCTAAGCCGGCTCCGAGGAGTTCGCTGTCGAATGTTACTGATCGGGCCCATGTGGCCAAACAGATCGTGGCACCCCGACCTAGGTCACGCAGTCGCCACTTCCACTGCCTGTGAGACCGGATCTCCTGATCCACCCTCACACCCGTCAACTACATCCAAACGCAGGGCAGTTCAATCTGCACGCGTGGATGTTGTCACCGAGCGTCTGAGGAGTAAAGGTTTTTCTCGTTGGGCGTCTCGGGCATACGTTAGTATGCATCGTGATTCTACCCAGAAGGTGTATAATGCACGTTGGGTTATTTTCACGAAGTGGTGTTGTAAACATCACATTCATTCGCCAGATAAGGTATCTGTGCAGGCTATTACATGGGTTCCATTGCCAACTATGTCTCTTCCGTTGCTACGGTACGGGACGTTGCTGTGGGTACCAGTCTCTCAAAAGAGCCGGTGATTCAGGGTATTATCAAGGCTTTCAAACAGCATGATCTTAAGAAGGGCCGCCTTCGGGCACCGGCCTGGGATCTTTCCCTAGTGTCGAAATCACTTAGGGAAGCTCCGTATGTACCCTTGAGTCGTGCTTCGTTTCGGCATGTGACTTGGAAAACAGCATTTCTCCTCTCCTTTGCCCTGACGGCACGAGTGTCCGAAATTCATGCACTCAATGTCACTAAAGTACGATTCGATAGGGGCGACGAAGGAGCGGTCCGCCTGGGCCTGCTCATGGGCTTCGTCGCCAAGAATCAGAAATTTGGTCAAACGGAGAGAGAATTCACTGTAAGATCACTCAAGGAAATCATACATCCAGCTGATACTGAGGACAGATCACTGTCCGGTTAGGGCCCTTAAGTATTATCTTAAGGCTTCGAATGAACGCAGACAAGGGCATAGCCGTCTGTTCATATCGTGTAACCCTAATCGCACTGTTGACATAACTCGCAACTCGATTGCGTTATGGCTTCGTTCTGTCATCAATCTGGCTTACCGGTCTTGGGGGTTACCGGTAGCGGGGTCAAACCCGCACGAGTTCAGGGCGCTAGCGGCAACATTTGCCCTACACTCGAATATCTCTGTTCACAGAATATTACGAGGTTGTTACTGGCGTTCTGACTCGGTTTTTGCCAATCATTACCTCAGAAAGGTTTCTGATGAAGACGTGGAGGGGGTGCACCATCTTGGGCCGCTGATCGCGGCACAAGCGGTCATCTAAGGTGTGTCCACAAGGTTCCGAACTCCACAGGCTTCAGACCTTGCACGGTGGTCAATCTGGGTCGTCTCCAATGTTCCCACCGCCGTTGGTACAGGAGTTGGGGTCCTGCAAACCAGCGCACTCACACCACAGGTGAGGCGGCTTTTTGTGTGTTTTGTCCTTATTTGTATTTTGACAATTATGTATTTAATTGTCTGTCGTGTATTCCAACCTTGTGATACATGCTTACGAATACTGGAATTAGGTCACACGCCTATTGCATACTTTAAGTAGGCTTGCTCGGGGATATACGGTCTGAATGAAATTAATTTCCCTCTTTTCGACTGTTTAACCTGATCTAAGATTTAGCTCACATGGATACTGTGTTCTCATCCGCTGCGGCAATGAAATACCTATCCAGTGGGGCCGTTTGGAGTCACCAATCGTTTGGCAATGACGATTGAGCCTTACGGTATGCGCTTGACAGTGCTTTGGTATTCCTATAGGGTAACGCCTAGCTAGGAGCATGTGCATCGAGTGCTTCCGCCTTGTTGTTTACTTCCGCCTTGTTGTTTACTTCCGCTGGTCGGAAGGAACACGAGCAGTCAGGTTCAGGTTGTAGTTGCTCCCCACCGCCTACTGTGGTAGTCAGCCTCGGTATAACAGTGGTAACGTATTACTTAATGTAATTTGTAGAATTTTCCTATTCGGAATATTCTATAAGTAATACGTTACCACTGGGCTGCTGCCCGCCTGTCCGTCCCCCGAGCACTTGCTCTCGCGAGAGTCAAGAGTGAAGGGTGTCACATGGCAGCTAGGTGGCTACGCACGTGCTGCATGAGGTAATTGAGATCTCTGTGGTAGATTTCGCTATAGCAGCAGTTGTGGGAGACAACAGCCTCGGTATATCAGTGGTAACGTATTACTTATAGAATATTCCGAATAGGAAAATTCTACAAAATTGTGTAATTGTGTTGTTTTTCTGAGTGGTTGTTGTCAGCACAATGCTAAACAATGCATATGGAATCCCGTTAACGCACATGTTTTTATACCCATTCTTGGGTAGTGAAATGCATGGGTCATGCATAAAAGTCAACTTTTGCATGATATGCATGCTTTTCTGTAGTAGTTGCGTTTTTGTGACTTGATTCCATACATGTACTACAATATTGAAAACCAAACTTTACTTGTTTGAAAAATACACTAAAATATTTGTGTTACAGGAACTTTTGTTGTCAACCTATCTGTGCTACTTGTTGTTAATGTTATTCTGCAGCTTGTCACAACATAATGCATTTATGCCTCTCGTGACTTGGTTGTAGTCACTCTAGCTGTGTAAGAACCTATATCAAAACATCTCTATATGTAATAAACCAGAAGTTGTTGTCCAAACTGACATGCTGTGATATGACTGGAATACTGTTCATAGCAGCATTAAACCCAGGTCTGTCACTCACTCACTCACTCACTCACTCACTCACTCACTCACTCACTCACTCACAAAAATATATCTTACTTGTGTTTGAATGTTTGAAAAAAAATTGTTTTTGGTAGGCGCTGGATGTCGCAAGTGTCCTTTCGGCTTCTTCAAGGAAGACCACTCGGACTGGGGCATGTGCCGGGCCTGGAGAAAGTAGGTTTATGACAAATGCTGCCAGTTCAACATGTTTAATCGAGAAACCCTCCAACTTAGCCTAATTGTGTCTCAGTGTTTGAGAACAATGTGAACAATTTCAACATCTTTTTCTGAAATTCTTTCCTTTCAAGTTCTGAAAAATGAATGTTGTGTGAAAATTGCAATCATATTGCACTGTGTCTACCTGTAGCAAGAGGCATGGAACTTTCTGTTTTGAAGTTATGCTGCATTAGATTGGCCCATCATTCTTATAGATTAACTCTTTCAACACCAGTCTACCAGATGCTTTTACTGCTGTGACAGTGAGTTCCCAGACACTCTGTGGTGATAGATGAAGCCTACAAAAATCAAGGAAATTATCTGCTTGGAACTAAAAAAATATGGAACTTCTTCTGGACATATTGTGCTCGGTTATGACTTCTGACAAATATTTCTCATGCATATATTTTGGCATTTAACATCTTGCACGAGCCTAAAAAACCAGGCGTTGATAGCCGAGATGTCATTTGATGGCACAAAAAGATGGAAATAGTACCTTTAGATATATTTTTGTTGATTTTATGTATAACATTATATGATTTATTTAAGGATTTGCATGAAATGTCTTTGTTTTACTCTTTGACATGTTCCATACAGACCCGTTGTCCAGAAGTATGGGTCCCAGAAATTGTTTTTTCAATAACTGCAGGAAATAGTTAACAAATTCTAAATCTATTGATGAAATATGATAAATTGAAATGAAATATGTAGTTTCAGACATTGTGAAAGTAATAGATTAATAAATAAATGATATGATAAGCAGGTTCATAAAATTATATACCATTTTGGTGTAGCTATATCTTGGCCGGTCTACTGGCCTGTGGTGTTGAAAGAGTTAAGATGGCACCTGACTGTCCAAATGGTTCATGATGCTTCTTGGGGGACAGTTTTGGGATTTTCAGGTTAAGGGATAAGGCTGCTTAATTATTTCTTCCATGTAATGGAAACGCTTTTCTGCACTTTTTTGTGCAAGTTGTTTCTAACTCTTTTATGTCACTTTGGGGAAGTATGTACAGGATGTTTTCCATGAATGCTGCACAACGTGTCATGCTTGCAGCTGCTCCATGCTGGGTCTGGTGGAGAGAACAACAGGCAGTGACATCAGCGACGTCATCTGCACCGAACTGGCCGAGGCTTCAACTACTGCCGGTTAGTTTGTATAAATAGCAGGGCATGGAGTCATCCTGTAGATGAGATCCTTACTTTGCCACCTTGCTGATGGGGTTAATCTCTTTCGTCATGTTGACAAGGCTTCCAGCATCAGAACAGTAGGATTCTGGTTCAAATCCCATCACAGGACTCCTAAATGTTAGATAAATAAAATAAGGCTGCCCTCAGGTGGCCCTAGACATGCCTTCTGTTGACACGGGTGTATGTAGCAGGGCATGGAGTCATCGTACAGATGACATCCCAACCTTGTCAGCTTCTAACAAGGCATCAGAGCCAGTGGGATTTCAGCTCCTGTTGGCCCAAGTGTAATGTGTCCTCAGGGCTAGTGGGATTTCAGGTCCTGTTGGCCCAAGTATAATGTGTCCTCAGGGATAGTGGGATTTCAGGTCCTGTTGATCCAAGTGTAATGTGTCCTCAGGGCCAGTGAGATTTCAGGTCCTGTTGATCCAAGTGTAATTTGTCCACAGGGCCAGTGAGATTTCAGGTCTTGTTGATCCAAGTGTAATGTGTCCTCAGGGCTAGTGGGATTTCAGGTCCTGTTGGCCCAAGTATAATGTGTCCTCAGGGCTAGTGGGATTTCAGGTCCTGTTGATCCAAGTGTAATGTGTCCTCAGGGCAAGTGGGATTTCAGCTCCTGTTGGCCCAAGGGTATTGTGTCCACAGTCAGTGAGATTTCAGGTCCTGTTGGCCCAAGTGTAATGTGTCCTCAGGGCTAGTGGGATTTCAGGTCCTGTTGATCCAAGTGTAATGTGTCCTCAGGGCCAGTGGGATTTCAGGTCCTGTTGATCCAAGTGTAATGTGTCCTCAGGGCCAGTGAGATTTCCGGTCCTGTTGGCCCAAGTGTAATGTGTCAACAGGGTCAGTGGGATTTCCGGTCCTGTTGGCCCAAGTGTAATGTGTCCTCAGGGTCATTGGGATTTCAGGTCCTATTGATCCAAGTGTAATGTGTCCTCAGGGTCATTGGGATTTCAGGTCCTTTTGGCTCAAGTGTAATGTGTCAACAGGGTCAGTGGGATTTCAGGTCCTGTTGATCCAAGTGTATTGTGTCAACAGGGCCAGTGGGATTTCCGGTCCTGTTGGCCCAAGTGTAATGTGTCCTCAGGGTCATTGGGATTTCAGGTCCTGTGGACCCAAGTGTAATGTGTTCACAGGGCCAGTGAGATCTCAGGTCCTGTTGACTTGGTGTTTCAAGGCTTCTAAGGAATCGTCTTATATTGTCATCAATCTGGCCAGTAGATATTTCAGGTAAGTTTAGACCAGTGTCGATCGTAGCGTGGCTATTACGAGTTATGTCCCTTCTATGTCCATCCTACTGACCAATCAGATTCCCCCTCTCATAACTCTTGCACTTGCTTAAAAAACATGGCAGCGCCCAGTCAAGATGATCTGACTGATAATAAGGATCTATATTGTCATAAACAGGTCTTATCTTGCAAAGTGCATCAAATCACTTGAGCAGTTCCATTAAAACATGACAACATTTTGAAAATGTCTGTCGACGCCCAGTTGATGGTACTCATGCCCTGCAAATCCTGCAATCAGACAATATCGACACGGCAGTTGCCACATTGTTTATGAACTAGACATTTTGTTTCGGGATTTGATTGGACTGTGTATAGACTTGTTAGTCCAGCCAAAATATAACTCCATATTTCCAGGCTAGTTCGTCAAGCATGGAAACTAGACTTTTACAGTCAGTTAATTCCCTTGCCTCGGGATTATTTTGTATTTTTACTCATTGAGTATGTGACTGGTTATATGAGACAAGATTAGCTTTAATAACAACCAGGTTAGGGTAAACATCCTATACATGAAATAACAGAGTGATGTCCAACAACTGCTGACCTTGTGACCCTGGGCCTGTATGTCTACTCTGTGTATGTATCCTCACGTACCCGAATTTTGAACAGTTAAGATGGCATTGCTGATATTTCGAGGGATGAGGGAATTAATACTCAAATTCTGCTTCATGCTAGTAGATGATGTCTTCGGCAATAGAAATCAGCTACATTCAATACGTTCAAACTGTTTTGCTGTTTCTATTATCATGACACAGGCACCAAAATTCTGACAGGTGTACGGTACTTCACATGAACCTTAATTTTGACAGGCCGAATGCGTGCACTCTCTAGGCAGCAGATTTGATGACGTCACACCTCTCATTATAGCGACAAATCAATATCAAACACAGCTGTTTGAAATTAGGTGTTGTTCAAAAATAGGGTACTGAATGATACATTAAATATGAAGAGTGATAGTTTCTACCTGTTATATGTCGACAATATATAAATGACAGAATATGTAGAAAATCATTATTATCCCCCGCCGCGCGAAAGCGCGAAGCGGGGGATATAGTATTCACGACCGTCCGTACGTACGTCTGTACGTCCGTACGTCCGTCCGTACGTCCCACCTGTTTGTTGCCGCAATATCTCAAGAACTAAACACTGGATTGTCTTCATATTTGGAACTATGGTGTATATACAGACTCCGCAGACACCAGTCGGTTTTGGTGACCTTGATCCCATTTTCAAGGTCACAGCAGACAAATCTGCTTTTAGAGTTGGAAAACGGTGTTGCCGCGATATCTCAAGAACTAAACACTGGATTGTCTTCATATTTGGAACTATGGTGTATATACAGACTCCGCAGAAACCAGTCGGTTTTGGTGACCTTGATCCCATTTTCAAGGTCACAGCAGACAAATCTGCTTTTGGAGTTGGAAAACGGTGTTGCCGCAATATCTCAAGAACTAAACACTGGATTGTCTTCATATTTGGAACTATGGTGTATATACAGAATCCGCAGACACCAGTCGGTTTTGGTGACCTTGATCCCATTTTCAAGGTCACAGCAGACAAATCTGCTTTTGGAGTTGGAAAACGGTGTTGCCGCGATATCTCAAGAACTAAACACTGGATTGTCTTCATATTTGGAACTATGGTGTATATACAGACACCGCAGACACCAGTCGGTTTTGGTGACCTTGACCCCATTGTCAAGGTCACAGCAGGCAAATCTGCTTTTGGAGTTAGAAAACGGTGTTGCCGCGATATCTCAAGAACTAATCGCTGGATTGTCTTCATATTTGGTACTATGGTGTACAGGCGGGGGATATTTCGTCACTCTGTGACCAATAATTGTTTATTTAGTCATTTCATAAAGTGAGCTTCAGTACCTGTGTTTGCAGAGGTAACATCAGTGAGCCTCCCATTACTGTCACACTTTCTACAATCTAGCTCCATCCCTACCAACAGGACCATCTACTGGACAATCAACTGGACGCCCTGAAGGACCATCAACTGGAGTCCCTAAAGAACCATCAACTGGACCCCCCACTGGACCCCCTACTGGACCCCCTACTGGACCCCATACTACTACTGGAGCACCTCCTCCTCATGTTCGACCCTGGTAAGGCCACCAGTTCTTAGCTCGCTACATCATGGTACATTGTCCGTCAGTCCACTCCTTTGACTGTTAGTCATAATACCAACCCACAAGCAGAGGTTTCTATCATGCCCAAGGGATGTAACTCTGCACAGCGAATTGCGGTGCTCAAAAGCAGAGCTTGATTAACTGAACGTAACTTGCACTGTGTGGTTGATCACATGAAAACCTAGTTGCACAGTAATGAAATCTCATACATCGGATGACTGTCAATACTGTTTTCAGAGCTCCAGATAAGCTATGTATCTGCGTAAAATATGCATCAGAAATGCAGAAATACGTAGTAAAATAAAATCCAAGCGTATCAAATACACAACGAACATTACAGATACGCTACAAAAATAAAACTTGTGCGTATCATCAAAATATTGTGAAGTAACCCTGCGTATTCGATTAGCAAATCAGCAACTTTATAAACGGACATTCCGTCAACCTTACCAAACTCCACAATGACAGTTACATCATGATCATTTGCCATCACACTTTCTTGTGGAAGTATCGTGGTATTTTTGAGTCCTATAAAGCTCTCGAACCCACACGACACCAGTTTGCAGGGACTAGATGTGTGTTTTTAAATATTTAACTTAAATACCCCCATGTGTAAAAACTAGTTGGTAACAGAAATTTGAATACCCAGATAGAATTACTGATACCCAATGATTTTAAAATGCATGCGTAAAATACCCACAATACCAAAAGCTTATCTGGAGCTCTGTGTTTTTGATACAGTATGGTAAACAGAAATTAGAGGCATTGAGTGTGTTCAAAACCATCTGTGGACAATTAAGAGCTAGTCATGAAACAAATTTGAAATCTTTAATGTGTCTGTTATATTTTCCTGAATTGAGCCCTGAAAAGTATGTCCCATATGATGGCTAGAACTGTCAAAGGATGGGCTGACACTCTGATAACACTGCAGCCCAAAGCCAGAAGTATATCTTATCATCCGTATACATTTCAGTACATTCCCCTTTACTTGAACACCAAGAGGAAAGAAGTTGACAATCTGCATCATGTAATAATAAATATGACACATCACGGTTTTATCTACTTTATTTCAGGGTTACACCCACAGCAGCTTCTGTACCGTGTGTGTTAGTTGTACTCACTTGTCTCCTTTGTCTGCTTTGGAAAAGGTGTCCGCAACTGAGAAATTGTATCTATAAAGGTATGTTCCATTAACACCAGGTGAGCTACTGTCATGGCTTGATGTCATGTAACTGTCATTTTTCCTTGAAGACTGACCATCTTCGGCAGTTCAGTATCAATGCCAATTAACTCTCCATTCCTCAATCCCTTCCTTGACGACCGACCATCTACGGCAGTTCAGTAGCGATGCCCATCAACTCTCGATTCCTCAATCCCTTCCTTGACGACCGACCATCTACGGCAGTTCAGTATCGATGCCCATCAACTCTTCAGTATCGATGCCCATCAATTCTCCATTCCTTCATCCTTGACGACCGACCATCTTCAGCAGTTCAGTATCGATGCCCATCAACTCTCCTTTCCTCCTTCCTTGACGACCGACCATCTTCAGCAGTTCAGTATTGAAGCCCATCAACTCTCCATTCCTCCTTCCTTGACAACCTACCATCTTCATCAGTTCAGTATCAATGCCCATCAACTCTCCATTCCTCCTTCCTTGATGACTGACCATCTTCAGCAGTTCAGTATCGATGCCCATCAACTCTCCATTCCTTCATCCTTGACGACCGACCATCTTCATGTTCAGTATCGATGCCCATCAACTCTCCATTCCTCCTTCCTTGACAACCTACCATCTTCATCAGTTCAGTATCAATGCCCATCAACTCTCCATTCCTCCTTCCTTGACGACTGACCATCTTCAGCAGTTCAGTATCGATGCCAATTAACTCTCCATTCCTCCTTCCTTGACGACCGACCATCTTCAGCAGTTCAGTATCAATACCCATCAACTCTCCATTCCTCCTTCCTTGACGACCGACCATCTTCATCAGTTCAGTATCAATGCCCATCAACTCTCCATTCCTCCTTCCTTGACGACCGACCATCTTCAGCAGTTCAGTATCAATACCCATCAACTCTCCATTCCTCCTTCCTTGACGACCGACCATCTTCAGCAGTTCAGTATCAATGCCCATCAACTCTCCATTCCTCCTTCCTTGACGACCGACCATCTTCATCAGTTCAGTATCAATGCCCATCAACTCTCCATTCCTCCTTCCTTGACGACCGACCATCTTCAGCAGTTCAGTATCAATGCCCATCAACTCTCCATTCCTCCTTCCTTGACGACCGACAATCTTCATCAGTTCAGTATCAATGCCCATCAACTCTCCATTCCTCCTTCCTTGACGACCGACCATCTTCAGCAGTTCAGTATCAATGCCCATCAACTCTCCATTCCTCCTTCCTTGACAACCTACCATCTTCAGCAGTTCAGTATCAATGCCCATCAACTCTCCATTCCTCCTTCCTTGACGACCGACCATCTTCAGCAGTTCAGTATCAATGCCCATCAACTCTCCATTCCTCCTTCCTTGACGACCGACCATCTTCAGCAGTTCAGTATTGATGCCCATCAACTCTCCATTCCTCCTTCCTTGACGACCGACCATCTTCAGCAGTTCAGTATTGATGCCCATCAACTCTCCATTCCTCCTTCCTTGACAACCTACTATCTTCAGCAGTTCAGTATCGATGCCCATCAACTCTTCAGTATCGATGCCCATCAACTCTTCTGTATCGATGCCCATCAACTCTCCATTCCTTCATCCTTGACGACCGACCATCTTCAGCAGTTCAGTATCGATGCCCATCAACTCTCCATTCCTCCTTCCTTGACGACCGACCATCTTCAGCAGTTCAGTATCGATGCCCATCAACTCTCCATTCCTCCTTCCTTGACAACCTACCATCTTCATCAGTTCAGTATCAATGCCCATCAACTCTCCATTCCTCCTTCCTTGACGACCGACCATCTTCATCAGTTCAGTATCAATGCCCATCAACTCTCCATTCCTCCTTCCTTGACAACCTACCATCTTCAGCAGTTCAGTATCGATGCCCATCAACTCTCCATTCCTCCATCCTTGACGACTGACCATCTTCAGCAGTTCAGTATCGATGCCCATCAACTCTCCATTCCTCCTTCCCTTCCTTGAAGACCGATCACTTTACATGCCTTATAATGTAATGTAAGGAAATGATGTGTATTATTTCAGAATTTGCTCATCAAGAACTTATATTTAAAGCCTGTAAATGCATACACAAATTGCTTTCATGTTGTTGGTTTTGCAGGAAGTGAAAGTCAAGATGCTGTGGAAATGGAACCCTTGAGACGAGACGTAGAAACCCCAAATGGGAGCCTAGGTTCCAGGAGGTACATTGGAACTGGGCCCCCATCCAACACTACAGAGGACACAATGCTAACAGTGAATACAGCCAGTCAGCCATCTTCTCGTGTTGAAGGTAGCTTGATCCCCCCAGGACAGCTAAGTGTCAGGGATTCATCCTCACAGCCTCACTACACTAATGGGTCAATACTTCCACACCCCAACAACCAGGTTGACTCAGGAACATCCAGTTCCAACACTTATCCAAGTGGGGAGTCCTCCCAAACTGGTCTGAAAGAGGTTTCCGAGCCCACAGTGCATATTCCAGAGAAGAAAGATGTGGAGCCAACGGTGGATGAAACTAGCCCTAAACTAACAGGTGCTCAGTATGGTGGCGATGACCTTGGGGCGGATGCTGACAAGCAGACTGTCCGGAAGTTGCCATTCAATAATGAAAGTTCACAAAAAAGGTGGAACGGTGTAGCTGTCCATCCAAGACCAGCTCTGAGATTGAACACGAAATCCACTGACAGCACTGACAAGAAGAAGCCTGTGGGCGTCGTGTCACGTGAGTGTAAACTAGCATGTGCTGCTCAGTTTATAACATTTGTGGAGATTATACATAATAGTATGCGGAATAAGGAAATGTCTTATTGAAGGAAACGTTATGACAAACAACTGTAAGCTTATAGCACTGGGCCCAATTGCACAAAGCGATCTTAGCGCTAAGACTATTGTAAGCCTATGTTAAAGTATGGGAGTTAAGATCATCTTAGTGCAAGTGGGCCCTGGTCTGATTCAACAGCCTATGCCTATACCATCACTTTCTAAGGGATCTCCTCACTTTGCCACCACCTATTGTTCCCAGTATGAAAATAAGTCAGGCATGCTAATTGGTTAAACAATAGAAGGCACCAGGGGTCATTTCATAATTTTGATATATGCTATGCACAAAAATTTCATTAGTTTTAGTCTGTTTTCAGTCGTACAAATGGGTATCTCTCATACCCTCACGTCTAGTCGCACGTTTAGAGGAAGCCAGAAGCTGGAATGTAAACATTAAACTTGTTTCCGTCCGGTTGCGCACGCACCTCCCTATGACATGTCACAAATCTCTCAGCGCGCCTCTGCGCTGGTCGCTCGAGAAAGTCTTTCGCGGTAGACTGCTAGTTTGTATTCTACTAGTACTTATCGCTTATCTACAGTTGTTCTAATAAAGTCATAATATGTCTTACCTGTAGACTCCTGGAATGTAATCCTTGGTAATCCATTGTTTGTGTTCAACGCGTGTTTCGCTGTTTGACAGTGATTCTACACGTGGCAATATGTCGGGCATTTGTGCCTCGTGTCAAAGAAAACTGTCTAAAGTAGACCCTCACAAGTATTGTCCTTCCTGCATCATTAAGGAAGGGTTTTCAACGTATTCGTGGAATAAACGTTGTAAAAAATGTGAGAACTTGTCTTCAATAAACTTTAACTTGTATCTTCGTGCGTTGGTGAAGCGGGCCGCTGACCAGCGCTACAAGCGGAGATGGTCATCGGTTGGATCCTTGGACTCTGCACCCTCCGCATCAGGCCCTGGGGGTGGCGAGTCGACCACACCTCAGAAATCAGTTGAAAAAGACCCGCCTCAGTCAACTTCAGTTTTCGACAAGACACGTGACCATTCGCCTGCTGATGATACCACCCGCACGACTGGTCTTCGTCATTCGGTTGATCGAGAGCGTCACTCAGCCTCCCCCGTTACGACGGGACCGGGTGGTGACGAGGACCATGAGGGGACTACGGTCCCCAGTCGGTCCGCATCTCGTTCTACCAACGACGATAGGGACGTCGTGCGGGACGACAGTGGACACAGAAGTCGTTCCCGTTCAAGTCGGGACGACAGGATGAGTGCCTCGTCGAGAGACAGTACACGACACGAGGGCGTTCATCGTCATCGTGGTCGTCGAATGTACGATTCGGACGATAACTACGATGGGGATCGTAGTACTTCTACAGTTAGAGATCGTAGCCCTCATCCCCACGGGGACGTGCGACGTTCTCGCAGGGAGAGTTTGGGGGTTCAGCGTCGTAGTGAAGATAGTGACAGAACGACGACCTCGTCTCACTTTCATATCGACCCGGCTTTGATAGCCCAGATCACGGCGGCGGTCCTCGCCTCGACGGCGTCGACCAAGAAGGATACGACTACGTCAGGGGTCCATGGCCCGTCAACTAGTACAGCAGCTCCTTCATCTACGCCTCCACACTCGACGTCGACGATGGGTTGTGACCACAGCCAGCAAAGAACGATGACAACCACGACGCGTGCGGGCTTTAAGGTCGGAGATACACCGCAGTCTCTTCAGTTTTCTCCTCTCGATGTCTTCAGAGCCATGGCTCACGATATGGACCAGAACTTTGGCTCTGCTCTGCCTGGGCAGAGCTTCTGCAAGCCGCCTGGTCGATCTCGTTACCCGATCTATGGCATGCCGTTTTCGTCACCCATGACTAGGGATTTGGACTGGGGGCTACTCTTCAAGAGACCAGCACCCTCCACATTTGGAATCCATGGGCACTGCTGTTCGGCACCAGCTGCAACCGCTTGCTATGCTGTCGACAGCGATCAAGGCCCTCTCAGTGTACTTTGAGGTGAAAGAACCCCAGGACGAGGACGACAGGACGGTGCCATCGGTCCTCACCTGTATGCAACGGTGGATCTAGGACGTCCTCGCCCAGTCCCGATGTGTATCGGGCCAGATTACTACGGCGCGTCGCCATGGTTACATCGACTGCACTGACCTACCTGATCGTCATGGCAGGTCTCTCTTAGGGCCCCGTGGACATCGCAACAGTTGTTCGACGGTCGTACCAACGGCGTTCTGGACAAGTACTCCAGGGAAGCCGAGCGTGACATCATCATTTCGGCTTCACCCAACCTGTCCAGACGGCCACTGGTTTCGAACGCCCCACGACGACGTTACCGAAACGAGAATGTGCAACGGGCCTTCCGTAGGGACGTGCCTCGACAGCCGTCCCGCAAGGGAGGTTCCGACAGGAAAGGTCGCCAGGTCTCCTTTTCCAAGTTTCCCAGAGGGGGAAAGTACCAGCGGGGGAGGAAGTGAGGTCCATTCCCCCGCCGTCGCCGTGGTTGGAGTCTCCCCCAGTGACACTACCTTTAGACGAGCTACCGTTAGGGGGGCGACTTCGTCCCTATGCCCACAAGTGGGTTTTCCTCAACGCAACATACCTCCAACCACCCGACACATTCACCTTGATATCCCTCAGCTCTCTGCGTCGGATGATATTACCGAACGACTTCCTCGTCTCGTTAGACCTTCAGGACGCGTATCTACATGTACCAATAGCTTCCGAGTTCCAGAAGTACCTCCGATTCGAATGCCAAGGTATTCATTACCAGTGGGCGGCCCTCCCGATTGGAATTTCTACGTCCCCGTGCTTTTTCACACGGATCATGAAGACGGTCGTAGAATGGCTCCATCGGCAGGCGATCAGGGTCGCCTTCTACCTAGACGACGGGCTCCAAGCTCACCAGTTTACAGTAGCCCTTCAAGGTGAGTTGGCGACCACCCTGAGTCTACTACGGTACCTCGGGTGGATCGTCAACTTTCAAAAATCGGACTTGGTACCACCTCGGGTTCTACAGTACATTAGGATACGCTTCCAGACGGGAGTCAATCTGGTCCAGGTACCGCAAGACCGTTGGGACAAGATTGTCAGCAGCGTTCCGTGAAGTCTACATGCCTCGTCGTCGGTGCACACGTGGCAGGAAGTCCTCGGTCTGTTGACATCGGCCCAAGACTTGACCCGTCGAGGTCGTCTTCAACTTCGTTCGCTGCAGAGATTGCTGTACCCCCACCTGGAGTTTCCCAATCTCCTGGTTCCACTTCCGGCGCAGCTACGTTGTCATCTGGAGTGGTGGCTCCAGCCGTCGAACGTTTGCGAGGGCGTCTTTATGAGCGAGCCTCCGTTCATACTACACCTATTCGTAGACGCGTCATTGGAAGGCTGGGGAGCGCACTTCGGGGACGACCAAGCGGCCGGGCGGTGGTCGCCAGTAGAAAAGGTCCTCCACATCAACTACCTCGAGATGGAAGCAGTGATTCGGGCGGTCGAGTTTTGGAAACTTCGACTCCGTCGGAAACGGCTGATGATACAGTCAGACAACTCCACAGTCGTCCACTGCGTCAACAAACAGGGAACAACTCAGTCGGCGGCCCTTCTGGACCGGACATTCAGGTTCATCGCCCTCGTCGACGACTTGGACATGGGCGTACGCGCCCGTCACATCCCGGGGGCCAAGAATGTGATTGCCGACGCCCTGTCGAGACCATCGAGGCCGTCTCCCACGGAGTGGATGATCCATCCGACAGTCTTTCATCTGCTGACAGATCGACTCTGGTTGCCCCAAGTAGATCTCTTTGCTGCCCCGTACAACAACCGCCTCCCTCGATTCGTGTCGCCGGTTCCAGACCCATGGGCATGGGACCACGACGCTCTAGCGATATCGTGGGGGGTCTAGACGCTTACGCGTTTCCACCAACGGTGCTGTTACCATCGCAACTGGTGAAAGTTTGTCAAACGGCCAACCTACGTCTGCTTTTGGTCGCGCCTTATTGGCCGGCAAGAACATGGTTCCCGGAACTTCTTCAGATCATCGTTCAACCACTGTTCCCGTTGCCAGATCGAGACGACCTCCTTCTTCATCCTCACACCGACGACTTGCATCCGGGGATAAAGAACTTCCAGCTTCACGCCTGGGTTTGCTTAAGACCTCGTTAATGAAGAAAGGCTATTCGGCTAAAGCGGCAGCGCTTGTCTCGTCGGCACATCGAGTTACGACTCGTAAGCTGTAAGATGACAAGTGGACCACTTTCTCCATTTTCGCCAGGTCTCATGGCTTCAACTCGGCGGTAGCGACCCCACCACAGGTGGCGGAGTTCCTAGTCTCTCTCCGGTCATCTCGGCGTCTGAAAGGGTCGATGATCTCGACATATCTGGCAGCTTTGGCTTCAGTAGTGCCGTCTCCTACGGGCGACAAGCTCACTAACGTACCGGAGTTGCAGAAGATTCTACGTGCCTTCATGGTTGAAGATCAGTCACGTAAATTCCGACCGCCGGCCTGGGACCTCGATTCGTTCTGCGCAACCTGTCTAGTCAGGCTTACGAGCCTCTCGATAAGGTCGTGTTCGTCTTATTGTCTCAGAAAACGGTTTTTCCTTCTCTCGCTGGCTACGGCTGTGAGAATTACGGAAATACATGCCATTGACGTCGGTCGGATTACGTTCGATCAGCGTAACCATGGCAACGTCCATCTTGGTCTCCGATGGGATTTTTTAGCGAAAAATTAACTTCCTGGCCAAGATCCGAGAATGTTCAACATTCCTTCCTTGTCTGCCATTATGGGCCCTCGTGATCACGCTGATCTCACCTTGTGCCCAGTTCGTGCGCTTCGTATTTACCTGCAGCGTTCTGAACAGCGACGACAACATTTTCGACGGCTGTTCATACCGCTCTCAACCAATGCAAAGAAAGAGATTACACGTAATACTCTCTCATTTTGGTTGAGAGCGGTAATTCTCTGAGCTTACGAGGCGCAAGGACTCGCACCTCCCACCTCATCTCATCCGCACGAAGTTCGAGCCTTCGCTTCAACATTAGCACTCCACAGTAATTGTTTGCTACAAGTTATTATGGAGGGCTGCTTTTGGTGATCTACTTCAGTGTTTGCTTCGCATTATCCTAGAGATATCTCCACAGAAGAGGTTGAAGGACTCAAACAGTTTGGTCCACTCGTGGTGGCACAACAGATCTCTCAGAAAAGACAGTGAATTCGTGTTTTATTCACTTTGGAGTTTTTGCTCGACACTTCGTGACATACTACAGGTTACAATAAAAGCTGTTGGTGAATGTACGCATTCTTATGTTTTTTTATTATGGTTATTCGGTGTATGCATCGTCTTCCCATACATTATAGTACTGCTCGTATTTTTTAGTTACTTTGTATACTGCGAGTTGCTCTGTAACTAAATTATGCGCCGACCTCACTTCGATCCGGGTTCAACTGACGTGTGCAGTTGTACTGTCGCATCGATAATTAGTTGTGTGTCGATGAGCATTACCCATGCTATTTTAGTTACCTTGTCTACGGCGAGTTCTGTAACTAAATTATACGCCGACCACATTTCGATCGCAATTCAACTGACGTGTGCAGTTGTCCTGTCGCTTCGATAATTAGTTGTGAGTCGAAGAGCATTAAACATGCTGTTTTAGTTACCTTGTATACTGCGAGTTGCTCGGTAACTAAACTATTCGTCGACCACACTTCGATCGCAGTTCAACTGACGCGTGCAGTTGGCCTGTCGCATCGATAATTAGTTGTGTGTCGAAGAGCATTAACCATGCTGTGCGTTCGTGATAAACAACTTGTCTCGTCCGTGCATCTGGTCGAATGTTCTATTGTCACTACAGGGGTGAGGAACTTGGTACATTCGACGTGAAAGTGGTCACTGCCTGATTACTTTCCCGACCCTCCTTCCAGTGTTCCGTCCAATTCTACCCATTTGTACGACTGAAAACAGACTAAAACATGGGTTTTTCAGATTAAAAACGATGTTTTATTGGTCTGTTTTCAGTCGTACGTTCCCACCCAGCCATCCCCACAGGGAAGTAATCCAGTCCAGTCCTGCTTGATGGCTTATTCTTCGAGATTTGTGACATGTCATAGGGAGGTGCGTGCGCAACCGGACGGAAACAAGTTTAATGTTTACATTCCAGCTTCTGGCTTCCTCTAAACGTGCGACTAGACGTGAGGGTATGAGAGATACCCATTTGTACGACTGAAAACAGACCAATAAAACATCGTTTTTAATCTGAAAAACCCATTTTTATTCTTATAGCACTTCATATCATAGCATTAAATAACATTACATTTAGCATTTTGATACATTCATACACATATTTACAGTGTATTTCATTATTTCATTATTTATTCTATATAGAACTTCATATCATAGCATTAAATAACATTACATTTAGCATTTTGATACATTCATACACATATTTACAGTCCAATGAGATGTGACACAGCATGTTAGAAGTACATTTTTTAATGGCAATAAAAACACCACGACAGATAGAATATACAACATACAACATGGTACATGGTACATGGTACATGGATACTTTGAAAAACTTCACCTCAGCCAAGTCTCTAAATAGGCACTCCATGCTTGTTTGAGCATATAGATACTTGGCTGAGTATATGAACATGGACAATCGACGGACCATAGAGTCCGGCACCCCATTACTTGCTCCCAACCCCCAGGAGTACTTGGCAGAGTAGACGATTGATGAATTGTGACTGAAGGTTAAATTACTGAATAGGAATAGTATCCGCCTGAATTACCAGCTGATAGAGTGAACAGATTGCCTAAATGATAATTGTAAAATTGAATTGATTAGAATCCCCAAAAGTAGTTAGAACCAAGAAGAGAGAAAAAGGGTGGACATAATGAAATAGTACAGAATCATGTCTTGTGCAAATCCTATTGGATGACTGGTAAAGTTCACGTAAGTATACCACATGAACATAGTCAGTATGGTTACATTATTGTCACCTTTGTGCATCGCTATCTGGGCTTTATGTATGGAAGATTGGGATGTTCTGATGTAGCGAGTGAAACATGCCGGTCCATCCACCCAATGCCTGTATCATGTGATCAGACACCCCCCTCTTGCAGCCGATGTTGCTGCTCCTATTTGAAATGAATGTCCATTGTAGGCTTTGTCATCCCATCTTCCCGAAGCAAGGGACTTAACTGTCTTTAAAAGGGTAGTTTCCACCCTTGCCTAACTATGCTGAAAGTTCTGGGCTCAATCGTAGCGCCACCAGTGGCTGTTACGAGTTATGTCCCTTCTATGTCCCTCCTATTAACCAGTCAGATTCCACCTCTCAAATCACTTGCATTTGCTTCAAACAAAATGGCGGCGTCCAGTCAAGATGATCTGACCAATAATCAAGGACTATATTGTAATAAGACGGGTTTTATCTCGCAAAGTGCATCAAATCACGTGTGCACCTTGAATAAATACATGAAAATATTTAGAAAATATCTGTTGATGCACATGATTTGCAAATCTTACAATCAACAGAAATCTGCACAACAGTTTACGAACCGGATGTGATTTTGATTGGACTATGCATAGACTCGTTACTCAAACCAAAATATAACTCCATAATACCAGCCTAGTTCGGGGAGGTGGAAAGTGGACTTTTAAAGTCAGTTAACTCCCTTGCCTCGGGAAGATGAGTCAGACCAGGCAACCGGTATGTTTCAGTTTTGGTATGGTTTTCATGTCAACATACACCTGGTGCAAGTTAAATCATGTTTCTTAAATCAGGCCCTGGTTGTATGTCATGTATAGATGACAATTATGAGTACATTACACATCACACTGCTTAGTGTCACACATCCTCACCACTCAAGGGTTAATTTATTATTGGGGAGATTATGTACACTGGTACTCTGTTTGTAATTGCAAAGATCTTTGACCTTCATATATGCAATCATGTTTGGTCAGTTATTGACATCTCCCATCAAACCATGGTATTTATGAAGCTGAAAGTTTTAAGAACATGATTGTGGCAACAGAGATTAAAAGTTCTTTCAGAATGTTTATATTACCGGTATACATAGGCGGCACAGCACTGTACTAGCAGTCATATTGAAAATACCATTCCTATATTTATCAGTGTGTGATTCTTTATAAAGGTTTACATACTGAACAATAAAAGTTGGGGAGCGTAGTGTTTGTGTATACACTATGAATAGTATAAGGGGTTTCCCTAGACTAACATATGGCCTATGAAATCTTTTATTACACAATACATTTCTCTCCTCGAAAAAATAAATTAATTTTCCTCATGCTGATTTCATATGTGGAATAGAGCTTTCTATCATTGCTTTTATAAAAATCTAGATTGGTCTTGTTTTCATAAAATACATATACTCCACCGTCATGGTGCAGGGCAAGGTTCTTCACACATGTCCTCCGGAGCTGGCGTCATGTTACGCTGTCATGTTACGATGTCATGTTACGCTGTCATGTTACGATGTCATGTTACGCTGTCATGTTACGCTGTCATGTTACGATGTCATGTTACGCTGTCATGTTACGCTGTCATGTTACGATGTCATGTTACGCTGTCATGTTACGATGTCATATCAGTGCTTGGACACTGACGGCAACATGGACGAAGAATGATATGGAGTAAATTGTGCTGACCTTAAAACGTTGTTAGTTCTCTTCTGCGCTTGTTTGGGTTCTATGGTGATGTCACGTTTTTAGCTTGCTGATATGGCTTGTGGTCCATTGACTGTCTTTTTGTCTATCTTTTCATCCGTCGTTAAGTTTTACATTTTCAACATTTCCTCAGAAACTGTCATTTAGCCCATTACACTGCAATTTGTGCATGTATCATTATGAAATTTGATATGCAGCAAGTATGTGGTATGCAGAAAAACGTAATACATTTTGGGGCATGTTTTGATTTTTGATCAAGCTAAAACTTTTGAGCATTGTGACTCTACCTTTGACATCTAAAGAGGCACAGACCGTGTATCAGTACAAGTAAACTCTATTGGTCACGATGGTATGGGTAAAACATCAGTGTATATTTGACACCACGGGGTGAAAATATATTGGATATTTGTTTGTAGTTTAATAATTACTTGAAACTTCTTTTTCAGCCATGATAACACCAGATCCACAGCCTCCTCTATTTTCGCGGATGCCTGGTGAAAACAGCGACAATAGCAGCTCCAATGTCAGTAACTTTGCTAGCTCCAGCGGACACTCCAGGCCAAGCCAACCCCCATTTGCTCGTGGAAACAGTTCCGAGAGGCCAACTCAACAGGCAGTGGTTTCTCCACTTTTTAATGTGCAGCCAGGTCGGGCAGTGGCTTGGACCGCTCCTGCAGCTCAGCGGCACAGAGAAGCAGCAGAGGAGGCTGGTGTACAGGGAACGCCAGACTTACGCCAGCCACACTTCCCAACACTGAGTTCTGATGAACACCAAACATAGTGGAGGTTGGGCCATTTTATTACAGGATTACAAATGTATTGGAGATGAGTGCATGTACTGTCCACGAAAGTGAGCTGTCAGAAGTGGACGCTAAACACCTGAATGACTGACTATGGTTCTAGGTGAATGGTGTGATCTTATTTTCATCTTAAGATGGTATTTTTGTCTTAGGAAATCGGCAATATTTTCAGGGCAATAAGCTATACAGTGGTTATGAATTTGAAGCGTCACAGGAATTCAACATGGCCACTGTACACACAGGAATTCAACATGGCCACTGAATCACTTGGACTTACGTGACCATTAAATTCAAGAAAACCATGGGTGTTCAAGCTGGAAAGTTGAGATGAGATTTGTGAAATGCACCCATCATTAATGTGATGACATATATCATTGCTGTATCCATAATCATAAGTGTCTGACTGAACAGTGTTGTCATCTCTCATCAAGATAAAATCTTGCATCTAAACATTATGTGTAGCAATTCCTACCCAATGTGTTCACTGGTCAGTATGGAGGGGTTGTCAGTTTGTTTGTTTATCTTTGTGTGTTGTTTTCTCACCTTCTGTGTTTGACACACACTGTTATTTATAATTTTATATTGGCTGTGTGTGTATGTGTGTGTGGTCACACAGGAAGGTCAGTAGGACCACGACATACAGTCGTCATACAAACTCACCAGGTGTTTAACACAGTAATATAAGGGTAACGCTATTTTTCAGGGCATTATCATTTGCAGAAGCCCGAGATCATCCATTAACTGCCCGACGAAGGAGGGCAGTTGAAAAGACCGAGGGCTTCTGCAAATGATAATGCATTGAAAAATAGTGTTACCGTTATTATAGCTAAAATGGATGGAATTTGTTATCAAATAAAAAGAAACAACAATATCGGTTTGGAAACATTTACTGCAATCAACAAGAATGTCACTGACCCACTTTTACAAATATGGAAACGTCATAGAACAAACCAGATGACGACACTATTGAACGTGACGTCATCTATCGCTATCCTATAACGTCACCTAACAGCGGGTGTGATGCAGTCGTCATCAAGTAATATGAGGGCATTATCAAGATACAGTGGCCCCCTCATTTCTGATAACATGCGGGCGGTTTAATGATAATTCTATCCATTTTACCTATAACATGTCATAACCAGACCATGCAAAATTGGAAATGGTAGGTTGATGGAGTGATTGGCCAATTACATCCTCAATATCTCCAGGGCTTTGTTTCTGTAAACCTACACTTACCCCTGAATTCATTCCTGTGGTTCTCACAATCTCAAATTACCCACCCATGATTTTCATTAACATTTTACTGACCAATCAAACGTCAAGATAAGAAAAAAGGAAATGGGTAAGGGGAGTGGACATGAAGACATCCTTTCTATCAGGACTGTCTCCTTCATGTGAGTGAGTTTTTCAATGAGGATGGGCCAATTATGGACCTGTTACTTCTACAATGTATTTATACCTCATCCTGTCTGCAAGAGGTGTACAGAGGTGTTTAGAATATCTCACTTGTGTCCTGGAGATTGAGATGTTGTCAGCCCATCCTGTAAGGCTTGTGTACATACCATAATCAACGTAATTAGCAGACTCCAAGTGTTCACCAAGAGATTGAAGGGGCACCTGCTGGGGTACTGCCGGGATGTGCGTTGGTGCGTGCTTGCGGGTGCATGTGTGTGTGTGCCAGTGCATGTGTTTAATATTTTGACTTTGAAGATTATTAGTGACTGGCCATTTATTATATAGAAAGGAGGTGGAGGCCATGCAAAAATGTTAGATACAATGAGAGGGGGGAGTGCGGGAGGATGTCAGCAAAATATGGTACAGCCCTAAAGGGAAGAGGCATGAATTATGTTGATTACGGTACTACTGTTTTCATTGTCACCTGTGATAGTCTTTTGTATTTAGGGCATTAATAATTATACACTTTCAGTAATTGTACGCTAAAATCCTTCCGGATCAACGAGATCCTATTGTTAGAGTTGTCCATGGGTATATTCTCAGGATGCAGTTCCATAGTTCAAGGTCAAGCAGTTCATTTCCAAAACAGAATGGAATTAACTTTGAATTTCCTCAGTTTTGCCTTGCACAGTTTGGGGTGAATGTCTTACTGTCTGCAGTGGAAACAGTAATTGCAGACAGTTTTTTAGCTTCCTGTGCTGTGACCAAATGTGTCTAAATTTTATAGCAGTTCAATAAGTAGAACTATACTGTATTGACAGCCCTATTGAGAACTGCATGCTGGGACTACCCCTCGTCAGTATGTACCTAACAGGGTTGGCTTACTCTGTCATCTCTTGTCACCCTTGATGCACTAGGCCAAAAACCTATTTTCATGACTTTGAATCCTGTTTCTAGGTTTGTCAGAATCAATCCCTAACCGTGTTTTTCCCCAGAATGGAAATGTCTTGCATCACTTCAGGCTCATCCCACATGAAGCTGACATGCCGTGATATAACTGATATACTGTTCTCAAGCGGCATTAAGCAAACATAACCTGATGCACTCCCACATATATAAGCTCTGAAACCCCTGCTTGCTTGATTGGTGGACATTGAAAGTCAGGTTAGTGGATTTAGAAATCCTAGTGAGCATAATTAGTGCTTTGTGACTATTATCACTAAAGACTTATGAAAGGATTTGTTCTGGAAATCATCTGATTGGAATAGTCATTTTTGTTCATAGATTCAAGAGCAGTCAGTAATAATAGATACTTCATCAATATCATCATGTTCTTCTCATGTCAAAGGTGTAGTCACTGTTAGAATGTGCAATTGGTTATTGAAGTACAAAAAAGGCTTTGAGTCACTACACAATTCATGCTTGGATGTTAATGAAACTTGTAGCAAATATCTGAAATTTCTCCATCTTTCTCCATCTGATTTGTATTGGCTAATCTTGTAATTCTGCCAAATGTCAAGGCCATATCAGGTTGTAAATGAAAGCGCTGCACCTGGTTCAGTTCCTGCGATGACAGATGTAGTTTACTGTATGCAGTGAGTTAGATGTGTCACTGATGCCTTCAGCATTTGATGTCTCGCTTGTAGGTCACTTGTTGGTCAGTGTTGTATTGGGACATAATTTTACCATATCATGACGTCCTTCATCAAAAATTCTGAGTGATATAGATGGTAGGTCAATGTCAATAGTTGTTGAAATACAGTTTTCAATGCCTGTGTTCATCGTGATGGCTGTAGCTGAGAACTTGGACACTATTGAGTCTGTTTTGAGCGTCCATGCACAGAGTAGCATTATGTATCACTGGGTGTCAGGTGAAAGGGAAAGGTGTTTTCAGGGATGAGAATTTCCGTGGTTCCGCTGTGTTCAGCTGAATTCCTTTCCTTTAGAATATACATAAATCATACAGTCCCCCAGACCCCCAGCTAACCTTCAATGTTTCTTAAAACTGAATACATTCTCATCCTTGAGTTTAATTTGCTCATGTTTGTCAATTCATCTTCTAAAGCTGCACTTTGATGTTAGGGCTTATCCTCACATCCCTCAAAGCTGTTATGACCACCTTTACGCCAACTGTTGAAACATGTGGAAATTTAATACTGTGTATGTATTCCTTATCACGATGACTGGATTCCTTGTTTCTGTGTATATCATTTTCAAGATTGCTGTTTTCTCATTAATGTAAATGAAATCTACACCTTATATGCCTTTTTCAAATGTGACAGAGTTGTATCCCTTAGTGAATCATGGATATAACTTCTCAAGTTTTGCCCTAATTTTGATCCTGTGAGCACCATGCTTTGCTTTGCTTTCACTTTGGGCTGTCCTCTGCATCAAGCTCCCATCTTCCTGAGGCAAGGGAGTCTAGTTTCCACCCTTCCCGAGCTACGCTGGAATTCCATGGCTCGATCGTAGCACCACCACTGGCTATTACTAGTTATGCCACTTCTATGGTCCTCCTATTGACCAATCAGATTCCACCGCTTGTATCACTTGCATTTGCTGCAAACAAAATGGCAGCGCCCAGACAAGACGATCTGATCAATAATCAAGATCTATATTGTAATACAATTGGTCTTACCTGCAAAGTGCATCAAATCATTTGAGCACCTTGATTAAAAACATGAAAAGATTCAGAAAATATGTCTAGATTCCCAGTTGACTGTACATATGCTTTGCAAATCCTGCTGTCAACAGAAATCTGCATGTTGAAAATGCATGTTGTTTTTTAACCGGATGTCAAGTTCGTTGTGGGATTTTGATTGGACTATGCATACACTTGTAAGTCAAGCCAAAATATAACTCCGAAATTCCAGCCAAGTTGGGCAAGGGTGGAAACTGGACTTTTACAAGGCTTTGGATGGCATTTAAAAGTGATGTACATAAGGAAGAGAATTTATGGATGTCAACATCTTTATTATGAGGAACACAACATTTCTGAGTATATACTTACTCCTTCATCAGGTTCCTATGTTCTCTGCTTCATAGCATTTATTCACCTGATGAAGGAGTAACTTCCTTGCCTAGGGAAGATGCAGGCTCCATGCTGGGTCAAACTGAATTAAGATAAACACAGCATAAGCCCAATACACTCACCCAAATGGAATTTTATTGGGGATCCTGGCCTGCTGACTAGAATGTACAGTGAAAGAATAGGTAACAGTTGTATATGTAACACACAAAGAACTGGAGTTTTTTATATCAGTTTTTAAAGGGACTATTACCACAAGACAGAACCTGTCATCCTTTTACAATTGAGCCTTCAATGAAATTCAGAAGTGTATAAACAAAAGAAATACTGACAACCACCAACGAAACAAATTTGCAATTGACATGTGACCTACAAAACGTGAACCTGTATTTTTTCATGAAACTGTCTGTGCCTTTTTGTACATTTATCGATATGTTTGTTTTGTCATGCAAGAAAAAAATCATGCAAGGGGAAGAACTGTTGACCAATTCCAGACTGAGAAAGAAAAGTGATCAGAAGATCCACACATTTCTACATTTTCTTTTGAATAAAAGGTTGTTCAGAGAAAACTTAGTTACATTTGGAATAGCAAATTATCTGCCTCTCATGCATCAACCGTAGAAGCAACTCACCAAGCACCAAGCACAGGATTCCCACTGGTTGGTATTTCCTTAAAGCACTTGAGTTATCACATGTGTGAAGCCCATTTCTGGTGTCCCCCGCCGTGATATTGCTGGAATATTGCTTAAAGCGGCATAAAACCATACTCACTCACTTGAGTTATCTCTAAGTATACACAGGAGCTTTACGTCAAACAGTTTTTGTGATCACTGATAATATGAAATGGCTTCCATATTTTATGTTTTATTTTCAATTATTTTAACCAATCTGTTTCTCCCATGGCAGCATTTATGTTTTAATGTCTGAGTACTACACACACACAGGAACTCGATGATAGCTTGTTTAGAGTAATTTTCGTATAGAATAAAAATCACACACCTCTATACACATATAGTCTATTGTGTACACACAATAGACAGAACTAGCCAGTCAGTAGGTATGCTATCTAATAAGCTTTTGAAGTTGGGGGCTTAATCAATGTTACTAACGCAGCTTTACTTTAAAGGGGCACTGATCTAAAGCAGTTCCCTGGGACTGGTTGTTGCCTTTGTTATTAATATTGTTTTTCCCGTGAGTACCCGGATGATATAGCAGAAACCTAGACTAGTTCACGACCTGTGCTGCGCAATTGGTAAGCCCATTTGTTACTTTTATTGATAGTATAAGGGCGTATTGTCACATTGATCAACAAAATGAAATACAGTGGGTAGCATCAGTAATG